AAATTCTTCTAGGGCTTATTTTTTGGGTAGGTCTTATTTTCCGGGAAACAGGGTAGGACTATAGGAGCCCAGCACAACACCAGCCTAGGTTTGTTTGTTTGTTTGTTTGTTTAGAGAGAGTGGATCTCCCTCTTTCTTAGGCTGGTCTCTAACTCCTGAGCTCAGACAGTTCACCCACCTCAGCCTCCCAGAGTGCTAGGATTACAGGTGTGAGCCACCACAACAGGCCTTTCCACCTTCTTTTCATTCTCATCTCTGTGTTCCCTGCTTTTGGGGAGCTTTCCCTGCATCTTCTCCTCCCCAAATGTAACCTTCCCTCTGAGATTTTTTTTTCTTTTTTGAGACAGCGCCTCACTCTGTCACCCTTGGTAGAGTGCCACGGTGTCACAGCTCACAGAAACCCCTAACCCTTGGGCTTAAGTGATTCTCTTGCCTCAGCCTCCCCGGTAGCTGGAACTACAGTTGTCCACAACGCCTGGCTGTTTTTTGTTGCAGTTGTCATTGTTGTTTAACTGGCCCAGGCTGGATTCAAACCTGCCAGCTCCAGTGTATATGGCTGGCGCCTTAACCACTGTGCTATGAGGCACTGAGCCCTCTCTTGAGATTTTTAACTGAGCCTTGGGGAGGGTAAGGAGAAGGAGAAAGACAGAGGAAACAGGAATCCTAGGGCTAGGCAGGTAGTTCCTCTCTTGATCCTCTGACAAGGAAAAGGTTGGCTTTCCCAGGGCCTAAGAACTACCCACATCCCTAGGGGGTTAGTGAGCCAGGGAACCTCCACCAGCCAGGAACATAACAGTGATATGAAGAAGGGCAGAAAAGAACCAAGAGAGTAAACACAGAGAGACTTCAGAGTAGGTAGGCTCAAAGGTACATGATTGGTATTTCTGCATCTTTTTCCATCCGTATTTGCTTCTGGGATCACTAGCTCTCGGGTCTTTCTACCTTCTTTTGTTGTTGTTTTCTATCTCTCATCTACCTTGGCCTTCAAACCCCTGAGGGTAAATGATCACGGAGGTTACAGGAACTCGGACTCCACCATCACCATTCTTTACTCAGTCCTAATGCATAGAGCTACCCCTCATCAAGCACCACGCACACCCCTGTCACCCTCAAACTTGTTAGTCACAAGTCTCCCTAGGCCCTAAAAGTTTGAGCTCCAAGCCCCCAGGGTCCCACCCCTTTTCCTTCCTGTATTCCCTGAAGTCCTTATCCCTGGTTAAGTTCAGATGGAGCCAGGAGTCCAGGGGCCCCTGAGGCCCCTGGGCCACAGCCCTACTGGCCAGGCCACATTCCAAATGGATTAACCCCTCCAATGCCAAGGGTGAGAAGCTACTAGAGGTTTCCCCAACCCCCTTGTTGTGTTCCCCAGTCTTGGCTTAGACTGGGAACAGAGCACTCTGCTTTAGCCCTCTTGGTCCATGTTTTCCCCATCTACAAATGGGAAACTGAGACCTATGGGTAGGGCAGGAAGACTTCAGTGGAAGGGGTTCCACAAAGGAATACTCTTGATCT